CCAGGTCACACGGGGCTGTTCGATTATTTATTTAAAGCAAGTAAGCTCAGATTTTCACGTCTGGAGCAACGAGGAATGTCTGCGCCAAGAAACGCCATCATCATAAAGATCGGGGGAGAGAGCAGGAACCACCTGTCGCCTCTGGTGAAACAGAGGAAGCGGCAGCACTGATGCTGCCACTTGGGGGTCTAAGAAACGGGCGCCCGGGCGAGGGCAGGGCTGCCTCTCCAGGGCTGACATGGGGATGGAGGACGCAGGTCAGGAAGAGTGGTCCAGCCTAACAAACATTCATCCAGATGAACACTGATCTCAGCTTGGGGCCACTTAACCCCATCTGCAGGTTCACCCTGTGTCCAGCCGGGGGACCAGTCCCGCGCAGGGAGATTTAGGAGCTCCAGCCTGCCTGGACTGCCAGCACTGAGGGGTCTCGCAGGTTCTCTGCTTCCCTGCTCCAGCGTTCCTGCCCTCACCCCTGTGGCCGAGGGCCTCTTTATACTGCAGGGTCAGTGACCAAGCTCTGGTCTCTCCGTGTCTCAATTTCTGCTCCGAGTCCCTGCCAGGGAGGGAGCGGAACAAAGAAGTCTCAGAAACAGATTTTGCAATTAGACAAAACTGACTTAAATTCAAATTATGTTACCCTCCTCCCTGCTGACATTGGGAAAATTTCTTAATCTCTCTAAATGCAGTTTCTTTTTCTACAAAATGTGCACCTACGCCCTCACATCACTGTCAGGATTAAGCGAAGTGAGGACCCCAGCATGTGACGCCACGTAACGCTCGTCAGTCCACGTGCCCTCACGCTTCTCAGCCACCGGCGCCCCGCCTGCCTCTGCACCCCCTCTAATCCTGCCCGCTAACAAGGCCTGCACAGCCCCACCCTGCCGCTCAGCCTCCTATGCTGACCACACACCTGGACTCCACTTGCCTTCTGGAAGCGCCCGCCACCGAAATCCAGACGCTGTCCTCTCTGCACCACGATCTGACGCCAGCGTGGGCGCTTGAGGCCGCACCGCCTGGGCTCACAGCCCTGCCGTTCACTTGTTAGGAAATGTGACTTGGGTCAAGCTATGGAACCTCTCCGTGCCTCAATCGCCCCATCTGTGAAACAGAGACAATGGCAGTGCCTACCTCATACGACTGTGAGGTGGATCCCTGTGTCTGCAGGGGTCTGGGAGCCATGTCCAGCACACGGCAAGCAGGCACCTTTTACATCTTTGACTCCCTGTGAGAGTGCTTCGTCCAGATCACTTGGTTAGCTGCCTGTGCTAGCCCATGTCATCAGATGAGCAAGCATCCCCGCTAGCCTCTGACACCAAGGGAGATGAAGCAGGCTCTTAGAGTGAAGCCTTTCTGGTGCCAGTGTGGTCCACAGGCCAGCATCAGCATCACGTGGGAGATCATTCGAAATGCAGCCTCTCAGCCACCCCCAGCCCGACGCAAATGGAATCTGCATATTAACACATTTTGAATGCACAAGTCCTCTGTCACCTGGGGTTCCTGTTATAACACAGATGGGGGGCGGGGGACCTGAAACTCTGCCATCGTAGGACCCCGCTTGGAGCACCAGGTATGAAAAGACAACACCGAACTCCAAAGAGGAATTGCACCAGGATGTGAGACAACGACTGCCTTGGCACCTGCAGGTGGAAAATGAGGGAGACGGGCGTGACCGATGACTTGGAAGAGTCCATAGCTAAGAAGTCAAGTGGCGCGGGGAGCTCCCTGGTAAGTCCTTAGAGGGTAGGGACCATGTCTTACTCATCCTGGTTTTCTCAACAGAGAATGCCTGGCACAGGGGAGGCAAGTCACTGTAACCATCCATCTCCGTCTCAATAAAACCAGAATAGCACTTGCTAGCTTTACAAAAACACAGCTGTTTTATAGCTGTATTAGCAGCCCCTCCCCACCCTACTCTAATATTTGCCTCTACATTTCCTATATGAAGATGACACAACCTATCATTAGTCAAAGGGAACCATTTCTAAACTTTTTCTCTCAGAAATGATGCTGGCTTTGAAAACCCGCGAGGCGGGGGGTGAAGGTGGGGTGGGGGTAGGAGGAGGGGCCGGCAGAACATCCTACACAAAACAGGGGCTACATTTTTAAAGAGCATTTGCTGGTACCTTGCTGACTCTTTCATTTTAAACATCCAGCATGTTGAAAACTAAGTGAAGGCAGAAGAGGGAGTGCCCCGTTGCTATAACCCTTGACCTTTTCTTAGTGACACACAAAACTAATCAGCCCCTGGAGGTCAACAACCAGGGACTAGTTAGAGGGAAGGAGACAGGGAAAGCAAACGAGAGTAGAGATTAGAAAAATCACACCAACTGACCCAAGAGTCCCTTGAAGCCCCTCCTTCCTGGGGAGCACAGCCCTCATTTTCCAAGACAGCAGCAATGACCAGATGCCCTTGCTTTTGATCTCAGCAATCTGTCCCCTTGTCCAACAGGGCCCTCGCCCTACTGCCCACCTCCACACACACCTGTCACCAAGTTAATTGACTAAGGGGAGAAATCTACACAAATGGGAGAAAAAAGCTATCTTCCCAATCCAATGCCCACAGCTAGCATGAAATTACCTAAATGTGAAAGCACGTCAATCCCAAATGTGCCTCTCTTTGAAAAAACAAAGGAAGATCACTGGCAGATGTCTCCAAGAGAATCTCCTTTACGTCACTCTGAATCAGCAGCTACGTATGAACACAGAGTAACATTTTTACACGCTTATACTACATAGACCTACATGTACACACACACAGGTGTACGTTTCTCTGCTCTGCCTGTATCTGAAGCGGCTCTGGGGTGGGTAAGGCAGCCCTCGTCCTCAGCTCCTGGTGTAAGCCGGCCATCTTCTGCCCTTGGGTGAGGTCTCTAAGCAACTCCACGGATCGTATCCACCCCTTCTGCTTCAACTACCGATGGAGCTCTCACAGAAAAACAGAATACAAAACAACAACAAAGTTTCAAAATTTTACATCTAAACATTCCTTTTTAAAATGAAATCAAAGCAGGGAGAACACCTGTTTCCCCAAACCTCATCTCTAAACTTTCACAAACTTTCAACCAAATAATCTTAAAGCCACAGTCACACAGGGAGGATGATGCCAGCCCTGTCACTGACTTTTTAAAGAAACTCCGAGGGCCCAGGAGGAGCTGAGGCAAAGCATCCCTCTGAACCGGGGAACCCTCGGAGGGCCTACGTGGTGTAACCAAACACACAGCCACGTTTCCCAAAGTAATGCCACGTTGAGTGTTACAATGCACAGGGGCAGTGAGGCTCTGGACGAGAAGACTTCGGGAACTACAGAAGCGTCAGCTTGAACCCATCACAGTCTTCAGTTTACAGAATGAAACTGCCCTCGGAACGCAGAGTGACTGGGAGCCGGCAGTGAAATCTAGGCGAGCGGATCCCTGTCCTTCCTCCAAGTTCCTGAACTCAAGTCTCCGCAGAGTAAGCGAGACCCGTCCCCTACAGACACCAGCGCTAAGTCGCGTGCATAGAGAGACATACTCCATAAGGACGTGAAAATCATCTTCCAACACAAATAATCAAAACAGAAGACAGTCCCTGTGTGTGTGAGGAATATTTTCCAGCAATCCCTGCTAATAAGGACACCCTGAGAAAAGGCATTTCTGTATCTTTTGTGATGAGAAAAATCTTAATTACAGCCCAAAGAACAAGGTACTCAAGAGGAATTAGACCAATGATCCCATACCTTGACCATACGTTTAGAATCACCTGTGAAGCTTTTTAAAAATCCCAGTGGCCAAGGCTCACACCAGGCCAGTGACATGGGAATCTCTGGAGGTGGCCTGCAGTGCACAGCCAAAGTTGGGAACCACAGAATTAGGGATTATTCTAAAGATACCGTCCAGAGCAGAGTCAATCTGAGCATGACTGTGGGCCCTTGATTCGCTGGGACCTTTGTCTAAATCTCACACCCAGCTATGACAGTGGATGGTACAAGCCACTCACCCTCTACCTTAGGAGCGGCTCGGGGCCATGCACACACAGCCCTCCCCTTGAAATGCAGCACAGACAAGGTCGCCCATCCAGAGGGCCTGCCGGGATGAGCAGGGTCCAGGAGACCCTCGGTCTGTATCTGCAGGGGGCACCTCCCTGGCAGCAATGTGAGGGGCTCCGGAGACGGGCTGGGACATGAGCTGACACACGGGCCCAGCTGAGCCAGTGTCCCCCGGGGAGCACGCTCTTTGCAGGATGCCGCAAAGTCCCTCATGACCCCTCTGTGAGGGAGGATGCAAACCCTCTTAGCAAAATACACACGAGGATTAAAGAAATGGGCACATTTTCTTGCTGTTGCTCCTCTATTGATAAAGATGGAAAATTCACTTTATCTGAATTTTTTTTAAAAGTCCTCAGTGTTTACCATTGATACTCTCCAGGTTTCCCCCCATTTAAGCTCGGCTTAGATAGTTTTGTTTCGTTTTATTTGAAAGCAAACTTCTGGCAGAGGTACGCAGAGCAGAGATATATACAAAACTCCAGCAGAATCAATTCGTATTTATTCAAAGCATTTAAAAGCAAAATTTGACCCAAGAACTCAAATAAAAAGAAAATCAAACATATTGCATACATCTTGAAAGATATTTTAAATAACAAAACATTTTAAAGCGTAAATGTAGAAAGGCAGGGGAAAGACATACAGAGATATTCAACATGTAATATCTTCCTACAGAATGTGGATTTTTTTTAAGTGCACTTTTGTCCAAAAAGAAGAAAAGGAAAAAGAAACACCAAGCCCTGAATCTAATATGCTTACCAACATGAACTGTGGAGGCAGGTGGCCCGGGCCTGAACCCACACGCAGGGCCCTGGACCACGTCTCCGAGCCTCTGTGCCTCCTCTTATCTTTACATCAGAGGCTCTGGAGTCGGACTGCTGGGCTCAGATTCGGGTCTGCACATGAGCTGTGTGAGTGCATGTAACCTCCCCGCCCCTCTCTCCCTCCTCTGTGACACTGAAACAAGAACAGGACCTACCTCCAATCTGCAGAAACTGGAACCTCGTGCACAGCTGATGGGAATGCTAAACGGTGCAGCTGCTGTAGAAAACAGTCTGGCAGTTCCTAAAACTATTTAACATAGAATTACCATAAGATCCAGCGATTCCACTTCTGGGACTCTGCCCCAAAGAGCTGTGAGTAGACACTGGAACAGATATTTGCACACCCATGTTCACAGCAGCATACTCACAATAGCCAAAAGGTGGAAGCAGCCCAAGTGTCCACCAACAGAACAACGGATAAAATGTAACACATACATACAATGAAACATTATTCAGCCTTAAAAAGGAAGGAAATTCCGACACAGGCTTCAACATGGATGAACCTTGAAGATAACTATACCAAGTGAAATAAGCCAGTTATATAAAGACAAAATATGCTATGACTTCACGTATATGAGGTACTTAGAGCAGTCAAACTCATAGAAATCGAAAGAATGATGGTTACCAGGGGCTGCGGGGAGGCGGATGGGGAAGTAGTGTTTAATGGGTACAGAGTTTCAGTTTGGGAAAATGAAAAAGTTCTGAGATGGAGGCAGGTGATGGTTTACCCAACAATGTGAATGTACTTAATGCCAGTGAACTGTATACTTAAAAAGGTTCAGATAGTAATTTTTATGTTTTGTATATTTTACCACAATAAAAGAATAAAAGTAAATAAGAAAGCCTAGTCCCTATACCTCCTAGAGTTGCTGTAAGGATTGGATATGTGTGAAGTGTTTAGAGTAACTGGCAGGGAAGCCCTCCGTAAACACTAACTACAGCTACTCTCTTATTGTCCTACCTTCGGAGCTCCCTCCAGGCCCCACTACCATGTTCTGCAGAAACAGATGCTCACTGACTAGATTTTGATCCCCCTCCTGGAGCTGTACAGCTTCTGCAATGAGACAGGTCCAGCCCTGGGCTTCCTTCCAGCATAAATGCTCTATTATTGGGACAAAACTTCCACTGCAATCAGATAAAGATGAAGAGACCACCTGGTTCCTGCAGAGTCTTCACACATAAAGCTGAGAAGACCACAACTAAAAAAAAAAAAAAAAAAACTGATTTTATCATCTATTTCCTAAATGGTTTGTTAATAATCTTGCCTCAAAGATAGGTTCATAGGCTAATGCTATCATATAAGTCTGACAGTGGGGAAGAAAGGAAAAACGTTCCCCTACTATTCATAAATATTCTTTCACCTTTTATCACAATCGAGACTATTTTCCTTCTTTGCTTCATCATTTAAAAGCCCTTCTATTATGAAAATTTCCAAACATATACAAAAGCAGAGACCCGACTAGCCCTCATGTACCCAGCTTAAGAGCCAACTTCAACCTCTCTGACCCTACCTACGACTCGACGTTCTCGCCACCAAAAAACTAGAATAAAAACACCAGGGCAGGGCTTCCCTGGTGGCGCAGTGGTTGAGAGTCCGCCTGCCGATGCAGGGGACATGGGTTTGTGCTCCGGTCCGGGAAGGTCCCACGTGCCGCGGAGCGGCTGGTCCCGTGAGCCATGGCCGCTGAGCCTGCGCGTCTGGAGCCTGTGCTCCGCAACGGGAGAGGCCACAGCAGTGAGAGGCCCGCGTACCGCCAAAAAAAAAAAAAAAAACACAAACCGGGGCAGCTACATTGAAGCAATGTTCTTTTCTAACAATCATCATCATCATCATCATCATCACCATCGCTATTTTACTTTTAGAAGTTCTTTTTGGATATCTTCTCACCTGCTCTCCTTTTTTTCTTTGAAACTACAAGTAATTTCCATACCTACTATGCCAAGGTTATTGTGAGGATGTAATACACACGAAAATGCAGAGCTTGGTGTCTGATGTGTATGAAGTTCCGGAGAAATCTTAGTTCTCTACGGACCACCACCCCACCCTTCTCTCCAAGACAACAGATACCAACCACCGCCACTCCTCTCACACACACGCTTCTCCATTAAAGAATGTCCTTGCTTGTCCCTCACTCCTCCCTTCCCTTCCCAAACACTGGTCCTTGCTTCCCTCCTGTCCCCTCGGCCTGCTTCGAAGCCAGTGATCCCAAACACAAATGCCTGACCACAAATCCAATCACCTAGAAGACCCCGAATATAAAGACAAGTACAGAAAGTGGATAAACTGAACTGATCAATATATTTAACATTTAGGGTACCAGCCACTAAACTAAAAATTAAAAACATACCCAATCTAGTGCCTGTATATTATTTAACAGAAAAACCAGGCTAGACACTCATGGTAAAAACAGCACAAACTGGAATTCCTATGCAGGTCGTGTGTATGTGTGTGTATTTATATTTTAAACATTAAACCCTTTTTTCATGATCCAAGAAATTTTATCTGCTGATGAGATTCATTTCCTTGCAGTACTTTTCGCCAGTGGCAAACCTGCCACATCTAATTTGTTTTAAAAGGAATTCTAATCACCCAATCAATCATACTCTCGACCTTCAGCCTTCACAGTCACTTCGCTGTGGTCAAAATTGGCTCTAAAAACTCATGTTGTAACAGTTCTGTTGTCCTCAAGCTCCAAAACGCCAATGACAGGAATATAATTTGACCAAACCCTCTGGTAGAAGAAAAAACAGTATCTGAAGTTTCTAATTCGTCTTCTACCAAGATTCTTTAAATAAAAGTGAATGTCTAAGATATTATTAAGGAATAACTTTTCCTCTACTGGGGTTTAAAGACTTATAAATCATCCAAGTGTCTATGCAGTGAATCTGGTCTCTTCATTACAAAAATCACACATCTCACTTTTGCTTTTAAATAACTTTTCTTATTGCAGAGATATAAGGACCAAGTAATAACCCTTCCAACGCTCCGATCTCCCCTCCTGGCACACGTTCAATCTCAAGCGCGCTGGCATACATCGTTCTGGCTTGGAAAGGCGTCCGCATTTGCTGCCTGCCCTTCCTGTCCCCATCCTCCCTCCTGGCTACCTGGCTTCTCGGGGCCTGGCACACAGCAGGTACTCAATACATGATGCTGCCGGGATCATTAAGAAAACTTTAGGGGTAATAGAGACAGAAGCTGCCACATCAAGTAGAGAAGCTGACTCGGGGTGGGGAGAAGAATGCGGTTATTTTAGACACACTGTTTGAGGGGCGGGCGGGACATGCAGATGGACACATTCAGTGATGTCCACCTCGGCGATGATGTCACACGGGGATGAAGCAGGTCAAGGAGGGAGGCCCTCTGCGGAAAGACTCCATCCGTGAGCAGAGAGCTCAGCTCTGAGCATCACCGAAGCTAAGGAAGAACCGCGCTTCAAGGTGGCTGAAAACACTGGTTGGGGTGTGAAACGCCACAGCTAAACTGAAGAGGATTAAAGACCGTAAATGAGGGGATGGGTGACTTAATCACTAGAAAGTTCTCCAACTTTGAGAAGCTGTTTCAGTGATGAATAAGATACATACTTATAACTATCTGCAAGAATCCCAAATAAAATGTAGGCAAACAGAAACCACTAAGGGAACACTATACCAAGGCCATGGCGGGGGGGGGGGGGGGGGCCACCATGCACAGCACAAGGATAAATCAAGGCAGGAGATCCAGTCCTCTAATTGACCCCATGATCAAAGGAGAAAAAGCAAATGATCAGCCCCCAGACGCTTGACAAAACAGAACATTCACTCTTCATTAAGACAAACTCTTAATAAGATAGGAATAGATGACTATTGCCTGAATATGATCCCAATATATCCACCAAAACTCCAGAATCATGATTTGAGAAACCACTATAGGCATTCCATGAGAGTCCAACTTCTGAATAGAGAAATGGGAATCAGCGAGTGACAGAAGGCTCCCCCAGATGGAATTAGAAATGCCTCTGGAAGGTATGAAAAGATGTTCAATCTCAAAGAAATGCAAATTAAAATGACAATTAGGTTTTAAAATATCTACAGATTGGGGAAGATCATGTTCTTTGATATCACAGTATTATGAGGGTCTAAGAAACAGGCATTGCTGGTAAAACTTCTATGGAAGGCAGTTTGACAATATCTAGCAACATTTAAAATACACACATTTAATTCAGCAATCCCACCTGTAGTGAATTAAATTTATAGATATACTTTTTTTTTTTTTTTCCTGCGGTACGTGGGCCTCCCACGGTTGCGGCCTCTCCCGTTGCGGAGCACAGGCTCCAGACACGCAGGCTCAGCAGCCCATGGCTCACAGGCCCAGCCGCTCCGCGGCATGTGGGATCCTCCCGGACCGGGGCATGAACCCGCGTCCCCTGCATCGGCAGGCGGACTCTCAACCACTGCGCCACCAGGGAAGCCCTAGATATACTTCTTATATGTGTGCAAAATGATGCACGAACAAGGATATTCACTGAACAATTTGTAGGAGCCAAAGACAGGAAATACATTTCCATTAATCGGGGACTAGCTAAGTAAATTAAGAATAAGGCAGCACTACATGTATTGACATAGGATATCTCCAAGATATATTGTTAAATGATAAAAAAGAGGTGTTGATTGGCTGTGCATGGTAGCTACCATTTTTCAACAGGAATATAAATGTAGTTTACGCATATACACACGTATATAAGGAAGTGCAGACATGGTAGGAGCTGAGAGACAGAGACAGTTGAGAGGCTACTATTCATTACATGCTTTTATACCTTTCGATTTTATACGATGAGCATTACAACCTAGTGACTTGAGATCACTCTTGGCTTCCCCTTTCCCTCGTTCCCTCCATCCAGCCAATTGGTAGGGCCTGTGAATTCTGTCTTTACAACATCGCTGCCACTTCAGCCCTCCTTTCCACTCTCGCCACAAGTGACATAATTTAGAGACCCTCAGTACCTTCCTCCAGGATAATTAAACAGCCTTTAACACCTTCCACTTCAAATAGTTACCTCCTCTGATTCACCTTACGTACAATGCCGGATTTACCTTCTAAAGCACACATTTATTAAGCTTCCGAAGGCCCGAATTCTGCTTGGCCTATCCAAGTGCCCCCGCACTTGGGCTGAACAGAACTGCTGCCAGGGACTAGAACTACAGCTGTTTCCTCTCACCCTGAGCCCCAGCGCCCGGCGGTCTCCTCCCTCAGGAATGCTCCAC